TCCGCTGCTTTACCCCACATACGCACGACCGGAAGGAGCGGAAGCGGTCGACTGTGGCATAATAAAAGCTCCGCTGCTTTACCCCACATACGCACGACCGGAAGGAGCGGAAGCGGTCGACTGTGGCATAATAAAAGCTCCGCTGCTTTACCCCACATACGCACGACCGGAAGGAGCGGAAGCGGTCGACTGTGGCATAATAAAAGCTCCGCTGCTTTACCCCACATACGCACGACCAGAAGCAGCGGAAGCGGTCGACTGTGGCATAATAAAAGCTCCGCTGCTTTACCCCACATACGCACGACCAGAAGCAGCGGAAGCGGTCGACTGTGGCATAATAAAAGCTCCGCTGCTTTCCAGCCGTGTGTCGCGCTTGTTCAGCGCCTCGTTTCGCTTCGACGGCTTTCAGCCTCACCCTGCTTTATTCTACTACGTTAATAAATCATTAGCTCATCCATGAACATGATTTCTGCCCGAGTTGCATCGGCTGTGGGGATGAAGACCACAACTCCCATGATTCCACACTCAGTCACGGCGTCATCTAACCACACCTTTGTCTCTTTGTTTATTTTGAATACACGCCCTCTAGCGGCGAAAATTACATTTTGTGCCTTTAAGAGACAGGTGTGTAAATTCTGTTTCTGAAAGCTAGCACTGCATAGCATCATTCCAGGCTTTGGAAAGCCTTTATGGTCTGAAACTGGAGTTATCATCAATTATGAATATCCCCACATCCTACATGGAATGCAACAAATAAACAAACAAATAAATACACATTTGATTTCACAGCCAGGGATGCGCATAAGTGGTGTGCAGATGCGCATGTGTAACCAAAATAAAAATTCGCTGGGTAAATAAGTTCAGACCAATCATTTGCATATCATCACGGTTGACAGCTGTTAATACACAATTACCATTTTAGATTGACTAACTGTAATACTGTTTAAGATTTACATTCGAACTGAAAGCATAAATCTAGGCTACGCGCTGCCATTTCAGAGCAAAAGGCAAAACTGTGGCATTTCATTCGCTGACGCACTTCACTCGCCAGCACTAAAACCGACAGCACATACTTGCCGGAACCCGCCAATTATAAAAGCTTGCTGATTTTAGGTTTGAAAATGAAGAAAATTCATTTATAAAACGGAGAGTTCCGGTGCTTGATTCTGATTGGCTGAGCCACGTTCGAAGCTGTTGTAAATGACTCTACAAAGTAACACACACCTTTGTTTACGTTTGTGTGTTGCTCGGCAACCACTTTGTTGCAACCACAACTGTTTCTGAGGAACTACATTGTTTGGTGGAAGAATACTGTTTTTATTAATATCATTACACTTTATTTGCTCTGTTTTATTCTGTGAAACCTTACTACGTATATGGAATAACCGTTTTATAAAAGCAATAAGCCCCGTGAAGCCGTGGTTTACAGTGAATTTATAACAGCTAAGGGGCATTGTTAGGTACAACGCGAAGCGGAGTAACCCCCTTAGCTGTTATAAATTTTTTAAGTGAACTATAAAATAATTGTATTTTTATTTAATAGTTTTTATTTTAAAATATAATAGTATTATAAATATTTATTTTGTTTAAAATTTTATTTAAAAAATATAAGTGAAATCATACTATTATTAATGTTTTATTTTTATAGTTATTATATTTAAGATATATTTTATAATTTATTTATATTTAATGGGTCACACAATGTGCAGTGTGAGCACCAGGCCAAATCTCCAGATGCTCTTATGAGAACCAGACCGAAAAACGTATGTGTATCCCTGTTCATGGGGTATTTGAATGAGGGTTTGTGAGGGGGAGTTTACTTTGGACTACAACCATTTAGCCTCCAGCATCAGGCTCGGGCTCTGAGAAGAAGCGGCCTCTGATTTCAGCCAGACTCTTGTGCTGTTTGACCTTCGTCAACCCCCTGCCGCTCTTCACAATAACTCAAACCCCCTCCATCCCCAGCACCAGGGTACGCGCATTTATCTACAATTCTGATCTTAAAGGTGCTGTATGTAAGTTTTTGACTCTA